GTGATTCATGGAGGAAACTGGAGCACTGAAGCAGACCTGCAATTCATTTCCCTCGGATTGTAATGGATTCTAGTCATCCTCCTCCAGATCTCTATCAAGGATCCAATTCTCACAGCAGCAAAACAAGTAACCCTCTACTCTTCTCTTGTTCATGTCCATCCCCATACGAAGCCCATGGGTGTAGCCAAGGATCGAGAAAGGCAGTTCATTTCTGTTATTTTCATGTTTCCGTACATCTCATAGGTCAAAGATGATTTCTTTTCGTTGTTTACCGGTTCTTGTTTTATATAGCCTTGTTGGATGATCTTGTTTTCTAGGTCAGATTATATTGGGGTTGAGATATTATGCATAAAATTCTGCTGCAATGAGCTTGAAGCTTTCGGCTCATTGCAGCAATGGTCATCTCTTTGTTGTCAAGTTATTGCTTTGTATCTGTGCTGAATTTCCCGTATGTAGTAGCATTATTGGATTTGTTGGAAGTAAGTATCTGCATTTGTGTCGTTAACAAAGCTATTGAGAGTGTTCTGGTTAAACAAAATTGTGGCAAGTCCTCACGTTGCTTGCTGCATTTTAGACCTGTTGTTTGTGATGCCGGTTTCATTCTCCTTTTTCCTATTTGTTTATTTGCTCCAGTAGTTGTTTTCTTGTATTTCAGTAGAGTCTTATGGATTGCTCAGAAGCCTGGCTGAGTTTGGTTGGGCCTGATTTGGTGTTTTGAATCTGTTAGTATACTGATTGATGAGTTCGTCTTAATAGAATATGAAAAATCTGTCCGCTGTTGTATGCCTTTGAATGCTGTGAAAATTATGTGAGTTGAACTGCAAGTTATAGCAGAATTTTGTCGCAGCAATGATTGACAGGAGCTGCGTTTTCTTTTTCCCTTCTCACTATCCCAAGTCCACACGAGCCCACATTAGTTCATTCTCCTTTCCCATCGCGCAATCACTTGTGGCTAACTGAAAATGCAGCAGGTTGTTGCAGCAGTTTCGTTCATAGGCCTGCATAAAATTTTAGGAGCTTGCATTGTTTCTTTCTATGTTTGTTGATTGTTTGAGTTGTAGTATTGTTGTGGTTTTTGCCTTAATCCAAAGCTTTTGATGCTTGGTTGAAAAATCCTGCTGCATGAATCTGGGTTGCCGAAAGCTTTCAGCAGAAATTTCTGCTGCAAAATGTTGTTTATCAGGTTGTTTTTCACGTAGCTTGCATGAAGATTGCATGAAATAATTTCTAAAAATTTCACTTTAACCCCTTGGCTTCTAACTAATGCTACTTTGACCCAACTAATTGAATAATGTCTACAATTTGGTCCTTGGCAGCTTTAATTTTTGCGATTTCATTGCTTGCTTTGCTTCAATTAACTACCATGCTTTGTTTTAATTGCACTTAAGTCATGACTTTGGGGGCTTTATGACCAAGTGAGCTTGTGATTGCCTATTTTCTTTAATTTTCCCAAATAAATTGGTACCTTGACCATTTCTTTTATTTTGGAGGATAAATAAGTGACTTCACCCCACTAGAGTTCCATTTCAAGTTGAGGTATAATTTCTTTTATCTTTTTTGTCTCTCCCCTATGTGATCCAACGTGCTACGTGAAAATTGCATGTCTACTTGCTTCCCTTATTTTTCTTTAATTCCTTTCATTTACTTCATTTACTTTTGCTTTTTATTTAAGTTATTCTTTATGGGGTATGTGTACACCTCTTGGCTTGTAATAGTTAGGGATTTAATTATTTTATTCCTTTTCCCCCTTTTAGATTGTAGTAGGGTCTCCCTAATGTAATAGATAGGGCTTGGAGGAGCATTCAATGAAGACCTATCGAAGTCATGTGCCTAGCTAGCAAATGTAATAGTTAGGGCTTTAATTGTCTTATGTGTCTTGCATGCTTAGTTGCTACGTGTTAATTTGCTTTGTTAGGGCCTTGCATCTAGTCGAGCATGCTAAATGTTATGTGCTATGTGTTTATGAGTGTTTGGCATGTCTACTCGCTTTCCATAGCCATGAATGAATGTGATGGATGAATGTACGTTTCCGCTAGTCCAACGCTAGTCGGAATTCATAGAATGGGCTAGTCCAACGCTAGACCCTTAGGGATTTCCCTTCGTTAGTACATGTTTGCATGTTTATTACATGTCATGCATTTTTTTTAGTTTTATCATTTTGCATGCCCCTCGAATCCCTTTTCCCTCCATTTTAGGATTTTTGCATTTCATACTAGTTATAGGGTTCATTTGCTTGAGAGTCCCCTTAAATATGAGATATAGACGAGTGTGGCTTTTTCTAAGCCTTAGCACGCTTGTATTCCCTCTATAAAAGGGCAAATTGAGTCACGATTTAGGTCTCCCCGTACCCAATATGCATGAATTCCCTAGGCTCATGCATTTTTAAATCCACTCTACCATTTTATACCCTCACCACACTTTCATTTTTCCTCCCATTTTACACACGTGCACCTTTATGTTTCTTCACTTGCACACGAACACTTTTATCATCACTTGCACACATACACTTCATATTATCATTTCACATACCGTACCTTGCCCACTCACGTGCACATTTTCATTTACATATTTATTGTCTTTTATTACTTTTTCAAACTCATATCCTCATATTGCATACATGCATTCTATTCATTTGCATCCCACTCGCATCATTCGTGACTTCTTCAAAGGATCGTTATTGGACTTCACAATTAATGTGATTGGCACCACTCAACCTTTGAAGAGAAATTTTCCCCAATACCCCTAGGTCTAGGGTTGGCATTCATGTAGCACATCCAAATGTAATAAATTCTTTGGTTAAAACAAGAAAATCTTTGATTAAATCACGCAACTAGCCTTGGCTAGGTCGAAGGGGTGCCTTGGATTTTTATCCTTGCCTTCCCCTTCGTCAAATGTGACTCCCGAACCTTTTTCGTTGATTTACGTAGACTAGGAGTCGTTTAAAAGGGGTTTCTTACTACTTTTTCCTATTTTTCCTTTAAAAATTCATTTTTAGGTAACTTGGTACACCTTAACTCATTACCAAGTGGCGACTCCGATTTTTTTTTATTTCAAAAACCCTTTTTAAACTATAAATTTTGGGTCAAATCGTCGCATTCTCAAACCCCCATTTAGACCCATTTTTCTTGTAAATCACAATTCATTTTCCAATCACAAATTGAATCAAAAAATACATTTTTTAAACCAATTTATTTATTTATCAAAAAATGGGGCGCGACAACATGTTTTGGAAGAACCTATTCCCAACTTTTGTTATTTCCCATCCTTGCTGCGGGTATAATAATTTTTAAACACATAATATAATCCAAATATGATTCATATATATATATATATATATGAAAGTAGCTATTTTAATCGGAGTGTTTCTCACTTTTATGTGGCATGCCTAATTGAAAAGAATTAACGAGTTATGGGTTACTTGATATATATATATATATATATATATATGAAAGTAGCTATATTAATTGCAGTGTTTCTCACTCTTATATGGCATACCTAATTGAAGAGAATTAACAAGTTATGGGTCACTTAACTTTTACTCATACTGAATTCTATTTGGATTATATTATGTGTTTAAAAATTATCTCTAATTTTAAAATAACTTTAAAAAATAATAATCTTATCTTAACGATATCTGCTTTCTATCAAATTATTACAATGATTATATTATATGTTTAAAAATCTTTAATTTTAAAATAACTTTTAAAAATAACTAATATTATCTTAATGATATCTGCTTTCTATCAAATTATTACATAGAAGTATAGTAAAACCTTTTTAAATCACAATTATTGAAATCTTATATATCCCATAAATTACTTCCTTTCACTACCATATCATTGATTAGTATTCAAATTATTCATCATCTCTTATTAATTTTGAATTAACTTAGTGTCAAAAAGAGAATTAACTGTTAGACCAATAAATTTACCAATATTATTGGAAATTGAATATTTATTGATGAAGAAAAAAGGATTAATGGATCTTTTCTACTTAATTAAGTATGAATATATAATTCTAGATTTATGGTCATTATAAAAATTTAAATTATCTAAAAGAATATCTACCATGTTTGGATATGGGGTGTATTATTTGATATATACTATTATATTATGGTGAAAGTATGTAAACAAATTTTTAAAAATTAGTAAATAATTGAACATTTAAAATACATTAATTTTTTAAAATTAATATGAATGAACATACAGAACTGTTGTTAATTTTTATATTTAAATTATTCATATCTGTATAAATTCACAATAAATAAATAAAAAAGACTGTGTTAAGGTACGGGTAAAATTTTAATTTCATCTTAAAGAAGTTTCATTGCTATTTCCTATTGAAAACAAATGACTTTCAGTGTATGATAATTTAGCCCCTAAAATGTCCAGTATTTCGCACTTTAACCATACAAAATAAGTCTATAACATTAAGGGAAAATTTTAGAATTGGTTGCGCAAGTGTTTCCATGCATGTGGTGGCTTTTCTTTTGGTTGCACAGCATATGTCTCAATCTCATGTGTCATCTAAAAGTGCATTGTTATCCACTAGACTTTGTTAACAAATAGCAAATTGGTAAAAGTGTATAGGGGATGCGAATCATCACAAATTGTTGTCAGAGCACGAGATATTATCCACGATATGATAAGCCAAATTAATCAAGTAGCACGGCTGAATTAGACGTGGAAATTTTGAGATTTCTTTACGATGAAATGAGGGTAATGAAAAAACACATAGGAGAACAAGGAGTGGACTCATATTCTCATCAAATTGTTCACATTTTAATTGCATTGTTGTCGCACTCTAAAAAATTCTTTTTCATAATCAAACAATAAATAAGATTCAGCACTGCACGAATATACTGTTATAAGCTATTGATCATAAACAATAACAAAATATATTGTAGATAGCATTTGAACTAATTTTTCAATACCATACACCTAATAAGTTTCTTAGAATTTATAAGCTCCTAATCTCTTGAAAAAATAACTTGAAAGTGAAGTAAATTTCTGTATGATACACCTTTAATTATGCCATATAATCAAGTTCAACTTGTTATTTTGTTCCGTACAAGAACATTCTTGATGATAATTAATTCTTTAACAACATCTTTCATATCCATTCGCTCTCTAGGTAATTTTGAAGAGCATGAAAGTCCAATGGCAAACAATGATCGAAGGCATTTAAGCTTTTCACCTTCTATTTCCGGGCTTCTTGTATTTTCTTCAACTTCTTTCTCTATTGCTGTGCTTTTGTTATTTTCTGTAATTTCAGGTTGATCATCTTCTTCTGCATCTCCTCCTCCTTCTTCTTCTTCTTCTTTGGTAAAAAGAACTGGATCCACAATATCCCATATTTGTGGGAATGTTTGCTTAACATATTCATGGAGATTAAGCCCGTCTATGAAAAGTTGATCGGTTGGTCTCCGTCCTGTCAAGAGCTCTAGCAAAAGGATTCCATAACTGTATACATCACCAAGGGTTGATGCTTGACTTCCCATCCCATATTCTACAGCATTGTCAATATCACGATAAGTGAAATAATTAATTGACAAACCCAATAAACGTAGATGTACTATTTACATGCGGATTAATGCTGTAAATACTAACAATGTATATACTAATAAAGATACATATATGTCATATATACAAAAATCGAAGTCTGAATTCAAATTAAAAGTAGATGGTATGAATTCATATTCACTAGTATATATACTGTCAGTACATTTAAAATTAACCTTTTAGATGTACACTATGAATGAGATAATGTAGTTATATAATATGTCAACACTTTGTACATAGAATTGGGTGAGAACAACATGATAAATTAGAATAAATTTTTTTCTTGCTGCAAAAACATCTATAAGTGTCTGTTTCTACTAATTAATTACAGGAATAGATTTGTTCGTTATACAATAGAATGAATGTTTCAAAGTTCAAGGAACTTGACAGTAGCCTTCTGACAAGTACAATTAGCCCTTCTAGTCATTATTTCCAAGATGAAATATTACTACATAAACATGCCAGGAAGCTTTATTAATTATATACATATTTTTTATATTTATAAATAAAATATATTAACTTTAATGGTTGGAAACAGATAAAAACAAGAAACTTTTGTTTTATAGCCAATTCCTTTTGTATTGCAAGTCCCCCTCTAGTGTAGTTTTTATTGTTTTAAAACTTGATATGGTTGTTTATCGACAAAACTCCCAACTGGTTAAGTTGGTCACTTGACTTTGCTCTTAAAAAAAAGAAAAAATAAATTCGAGAATTTTTGTTCCGACGGGAGTCAGATCCATCGGACTCTATCACCAAATCTTAGTAACATGATATCAACTTGAAAATCCATGTTCTCGATGGTATCCGCCAGCTTTCAAGAAAATTCACCAGCTTTTAGTACTGTAACTTTTTAGGCTTGATTTTAACTTCAAATTTAAAATTATGTGTGATGCTTTCAATTCTTTCATCTTTAGGCTTTTAAAAACTGAAAAACCAAAAATTAGAAGTTACAAGATATCTATTTTTTGGATTCTGATTTTGATTTTTTAAAAAGGGTCATCCATTTTACTTCCTTAAACTATAGGTTATGTTATTTGGTTATGTTATTTTTTTTAGTGACTTTACCCCCAACATGATGCCAAGCTAGCATGATTGAGAAATTTTCAACAAAAATTCTCCTCTCTTGTAGCACAAGTATATTATTATTATCATTTTACTCCTTAAACAATAAAGCTACTACAAGTTCCCCCTAGTCTATAGGCATTTTACCCCATTATTAACCCATCTCAGCATGCTAAAATTTTTTGGATGGAAATAACCTTTTCTTATATATAATTAAAAAAATAAAAATTTTGAAACGGTTGTTCTCCTTTTTTCACAATAAGAGTACCAAGAAAATAAATGTAAAAGAGTTTTTCTAATTTTTGTTTTCACTCTTATTAAAACCAAGAAAAAGAAAAAAATGGAAGAGAGGAGACAAAAAAATCAAGAAAATTAAGAAGAATCAAATATTATGATTACTTTAAGGTCATTAGAGTTGAAGTTGGGTGGTGGGTGAAACGGTAAGAAGTGATTTCGAAACAACGAGTATATTATATGTTCAATAAAATATTCACGGATATTCAATGGATACCCAAACTTATGAAGGTCCAGGTTTGAGTTTACTTTTTCAAACACATAAAAGATTTGGGTTTAGGTGTGGGTCAAACTAAATTTAATGGATATGGATCTAAATCAAAGGAATTCAACCCAATCTCTACCCATTGAAATACCTATTCATCTTAATTATATCACTAATACAAGGCATATCAACCTCCCTGGCCCAAAAAATAATAATAATAATGATAAATTTAAAAATTAAAATTAAAAAAAAAAAGGTTGGGGTGTATTAAGAATTCAGAATGCATTGAAAATTTGTTGTTACCTGGTGCTGCATAGCCTAGTGATCCCTTGATGCCAATGGAACTAGTTGGCTGTTGAGAAGGATTGCTTGTGTTTTCATACAGAAGTCTTGCCAATCCAAAATCTCCCACATGAGCAGTTAAATCATCATCAAGAAGGACATTACACGGCTTCAGGTCACAGTGAACAACTGGAATTTCACATTGGTTGTGAAGATAATCCAGAGCAAAAGCTACATCAATTGCAATATTTAACCTCTGAAGCAAACTCAAAGCCCTGTTGGAATTATTCATCTCATCTGAGCTCTGATGTAGCCACATATCTAAATCCCCTTTTGACATGAACTCGTAGACTAGAGCTTTGAATTCCCTTCCATTAAAATCATAACCGGAGCAGCAAGTTAAGACTTTAACCAAATTTCGGTGTCTAATGTTTCTTAATGCTATGCACTCAGCCAAAAAGCTCTTGCAAGCTCCATTCTTCTGCAGGTCAAGGACTTTAACTGCAACTGACCTTTCTCCCTGTAATGGTAGTTTTCCTTTATATACAGATCCAAAGCTTCCGGAACCTATCAAGTTTGCAGTTGAAAATCCTTTTGTTGCTTCATGAAGCTCATGATAAGAGATCCCTGAAAAGTTATCTGTTTCAACGAAGGATGTTCTTCTTTTTCTTCTGACATATATTAGGCAAAAAGTGGCTGATGCTACAACAAGGAAGCTGAAGACAACAATCAAAACAATAAATCCTGGTGCAAGAGGCTTTCTTCTCTTCTTTATTTCTTCAGGGCATAATGGCAGCTTCAGTTCAGGTATGCCACCACAAAGTTTACTATTTCCTGTCAATGATAATGAGCTTGCATTGGCAAAAAATCCTACCGTCGGTACCTCACCTTCAAGGGCATTAAAAGACAAGTTCATCAGTTGGACAAAGGGAAGCATATCTAGATCTTTAGGTATTTGCCCCGTTAAGTTGTTTTGTGCAAGATCCAAAACTCGAATGCCTTTTACAGAAGCCAGACTTTGTGGGATTTCTCCTTGGAAAGAATTACCTTGCATGTAAATGTACTCTAGGCTTGTACAGTCAGCTATTGTTTCTGGGATTTCTCCAGAAAATTGGTTATAGGAAATGTCCAAAAAATAGATATTCGTTAATTTCCCAATTTCAGAAGGAAGAGACCCCGAAAAAAGGTTGTGTGTCAAGTTGAGTAATGTTAATGAGGACAAGAAACTGAATGTCTCTAAAGGTATGCTGCCATTCAGGTTATTCTTTGAAAGGATCATTTCTCGTAAGGATTGAGAATTTCCTATAAGTGATGGCAGATTGCCTTCCAATCTGTTTTCAGATAAATACAGACCATACAGAGAGGTCATGTTGAAAAGGGAAGGCGGTATCTGGCTCGAGAGCTGATTGTTATTTAGGAACAACTTCTGCAACATGCGAAACTTACCAAGAAAACTTGGTACAGAACCTAAAAAGAGGTTGTGATCCATGCCTAACAAGTATAAGTTAGCCAGATTTCCAAGCCCTGTTGGAATTTCCCCTGAAATTTGATTCAATGCAAGATCTATTTGCTGGAGATTATGAGAGAGATTTCCAATGGAATCAGGCAAAGTGCCACCAAAATTATTTTGACTAAATAAAAGAGATTGTAGGTTACTGCAGTTGGATAGAGATGCAATGAAATCCATGTCCCCAGTAGAATTGCTGCCTAGAAAATTACCAGCAAAATTTAGCCAATAAAGATTTGGTAGCTTTCCAAGATTAGTTGGTACTTGTCCTCTGAATTTGTTGCTAACAAGGTCAAGTTTGGCAAGCAGAGAAGCATTGGCAAGGGAAACTGGAATAGTCCCCTTGAATTGGTTTCCACCAATCAAGAACTCCTGAATGTTTGGTAGTGTAAGCCCCATGTTATCCGGAATCTGCCCCTCAAGTGAATTTGATGAAAGTGATATGCCAGCAACAGAAGAGACATTGTAAAGAGAGGCAGGGATGGTACCTGAAAGGAAATTTACATCGATGCCTATCGAATATAAGCTTGTTAATTGCCCCAACTCCTCTGGTAAATGTCCCTCCAAATTGTTGTATGACAAATAGATTTGAGTCAGGGACGTAAGGTTCCCAATTGATTTTGGAATTTCTCCAGTCAAATTGTTTCTACCAAGGAAAAGGCTCTTGAGCTTCTTCAGAGAGCCAAGTTCAAATGGAATATTGCCCACTAGTCTGTTCCTTAAAATATCTATCGTCTTCAGCTGTGAGCAGTTGCTGAGAGTGACCGGTATTTCTCCTCCGAGTGAATTATTTGTGAGATTGAGATATGTTAGCTGAAACAGGCGACCAACTTCTTTGGGAATTTCACCAAAAAATCTGTTGTTTCTGAGGTTAATGAAGTTCATGAAGGTGAGATTTCCTACATGAGGAGATATTGATCCGACCAAGCTCTGTCCAAATAGATTCAAGCCAATAACTCTCTGATTTTGGCCACAGGTCACTCCAAACCATTGGCAGTGATGTTTAGAAGCATTCCATGACTTCAGGATTCCATTTGGATCATCAGAAATCTGATTCTTGAAATCCAGGAGCGCAAGCAAATCAGTTTCATTGCCAGACAAACTTGCAGCTGGAATTATCAGATTAAAAACCTGTATCAGAAGCAAGAAGGAAACCATTGATGACAGAAACTCCATTTAACCAAATATTCTGATCACTCGTATTTTACTCTTAGATTGATAATAATCCCATTCAACCAAATATCTGTTGGCAGCAAATCCCTAATCTATAGACTCTGAATAGTCCAAAACTATTTAAACTATGAAAGCAGCAGCCGACCCAACTGAGAATAACTAGGACGTTGGTTCCTGTTGGAGTCTTGCTATCTAAATGCTCATGATAATTTATGGATTGCAGGTCTCACAAGTTACATTTGAGACCAATTGAGGACAAGTTCCACCACAATACTACTAGTTTATATCCTGTCCAAATTTATTTACACGGTATCTTTGCCTATTTACACCTTAGGGGTAAACTGATTTGAATTGCAACTTGTGAGGGCTAATCCATAATTTACACACCAATAGCTGTGAGGGGCTAATTTCTCAAATTATTTGGATTTTAAAAAAACAACCGTCAAATGCACCTCTAACATGGGATATTTCTAATTGTATACCGGCCGTGCTGGGGCCCGTGACTAAAAATTGGACCAAATTTTCTCTGCAAAAAATTCAGTGTTGCACAGTAAGTGTCAGACGGGACGTGCTGACTGGACACGTCCCTGGCTGACTGAAAACTGCCTCCGTCACAGTAGGTGTCAGATGGGGACGTGCTGACTGGGCACGTCCCGATCTGACAAAAAATGACTCATTTGGGCATTTGTCAGCCGGCCGGGGACGTGCTGACTAGGCACGTCCCTGGCAGACAGAAACTGGTTGAGGTGTCACACAAGACAAAAGTTGCTAATCCAATCATATTCTTACTCAAATAAAGAAATTCTTCATCATTGTATAATTTAAAACCTTCTGTTTCTCGCACCAAATTCTGGCCAAAAGGTAAGGACAGGGGCTTGTCATTGAAGTTATGAATTTTTTAACTACTTCGCATGTTAATTCTAAGAAGGAAGTTTAAACGTCTAACAATTACTCCAGAATAGCAGCAGAGTATATTCTTTGAATTTCCATATATTGGATTTAAGTGGTCTGTTAAATAGTGGGAAATTCTTGTTGAGGTGTCACACAAGACAGACTCCGTCACACAATATTGTTGTAGTACCATACAGTTATCGCTCGACATATTAAGCCTAATTTACACATAAGTAACAAGGTGTTATAAACTTTTTAATGAACATATATATTTACATGCTTGGTTATCGTAAAATATTTAAATATAATTACCAAATATAACTGGTAATTATTATCACAAGCAACGAGTAAATTAATTATATCTTTATTCATTTATGTATAATCTTAAAAAAATAGTCGCTTATATAGTTTTTATAATAATCTTAGTAAACTAGAATTTCACAGCTATCCTAAATAAATTTCATTACTTTAATTTTCAAAATAACCTGATTAAACTAAATTTTAACCATAATCCTAAATATACTTCAATTTATTACTTTTTAAAATAAATACATTAACCTAACCTCATTATTCATGTTCCTAGATGCCTTTGTATTGATAATACAACATGATTTTTTACTTAAATTTTTTATTATTATTAAATCATTATCAAATGCATAATAGTTGTTAATTAAAGAAAGATTCATGCATTCTAATAAGCAGGAATTAATATAATGAAATATATTTATAAATTATAAATATATAAATATTTATATAATGAAATATACAATAAATATTACAAATTGAAATATTATATAAACATCATATTTATAATATTATAATATTTATAATTAATATTAATGTATATTATATACATTAAATACTTATATATTATATATTTTTATATTTATTTATACATTTTATAAATATTTTATTATATTTAAAAAATATTTTATTATATTTAAAAAATATTTTATTATATTTAAAAAATATATATATTAATGTATATATATAATATACATTTATATTATGTATTATGTATAATATAATACATTTATACATTTATATTAATATACATAATATTAATTTTACATTTATTCATAAAATTAATACATTTATATATTTATATTAATTATATTAATACTTTTTAACATAATATTAATATATATTTATAATATATTAATTTATACATTTATATAATATTCATTTATAATTTATACATTTATAATAATATACACTTAAATAATATACACTTATACATTTATAAATATATTTAAATTATGTATTATAGATAATATAATACATTTATATATTTTTATATAAATATATAAATATATTTATTTCTAAATATTTATAAATGTATTATAAATGATATCTTACAAAAGTCCTACGTACAGGAATTCTTCATCTATATCAATTCTTCATAGCCCAATAAATTCGCAGCCTTTCAATAATCCCGTGGTATTGTCACATGGCCTTGTCGGCCTTTGTCAGGCACCTGACAGTCAAATGTCAGGCGCCTGACTCTTTTTTTTCAAAAAGCCAGTCTGCAGCCGTGTCCAGTGAGCACGGCTGCAACAGGCTTTTTTGACCTGCTGACTTTTTAAAAAAATCTGCGGCCGTGCTGAGTAAGCACGGCCGCTATAGTTTGAGAAAACACCCTTGTCAGAAATACATTTGACGGATTATTTTTTTTTTAATGTATAATCTAAGAAATTAGCCGCTGTGAGGTGCATGTCATGCTGTTGTCATTGTTATGCATTAGGTGAGCAACATGATATGAAAGATAAATTAGTTTAAAAAAAATTATTAATTACAACACTACGACTATATGATTAAGAGAGTAAGATTGGATGGTAAGGTGAAAGTGCCTGTAAGTAGGAGGTTTTAAATTCAAATTTTTTCATTTAAAAAAATATTAAAGTATAATAGTCTCTGTCCTTGTTTTCTTTATTCCCCTCTCTACACCATCTATTTGATGAATCTCACTATTCTTCTCGCAATCTTTCTTCTTCTTCTCCCTTCTCCGTTCCCTCTCTCCCCCCCTCTCCACCTCTCCCTCCCAACCGAAACAAGCAACAGCAGAAACAAAATTTTTTTTTGCTTTTCTCTCTCTCCCCCTCTTCTCCATCTCCCTCCCAGCCGAAACAAGCAACAACAGAAACAATTTTTTTTTCTCTCTCCCCCTATTTTCTTTCTCCCTCTCTCCCTCCCCCTCTCCTCCCCTCTCCTCCTCTTCTCCCCTTCCCCCTTCCTAGAGCTATTAAACAAAACAAGCAATTCGAAAAAACTCGATTGAATTCAATTCGATAAAACTCGAATTCAACTTATCAATTTTAGTCAACGAGTCGAGTTTGAACTAGAAATTTACTCGATTAATTAACGAGCCAAATAAGATCTAATCGTTTGTTGTTTCAATAGCTCACTTGGGCTCGATAAGGAAGGGTATATATGTCATTTCATAAGTCAAAAGAATAAAATTGAAAATTACATAATTTTATTGTGATCAATTCGCACGAGCTCGAGTTCAACTCGTTTGTGATAAACGAGTCGAGTTCGAGCTCGAGCATGAGTCACATGTCCCATTTGGCGAGTTGAATTCGAACACACTTCAAGGCTGGTCCGATTAGTGGAGCAAGTTCGAGCTTGACTCGAGCTAAACATGAGTTGAGCTCGGCAGTCAAATACTCGATTCGACTCGACTCGATTAACAGCACTACCTTCCCCCTCTCCTTCCTCCTTTGTCGTCAACACCACCACCTCTGGAGTTTGAGCAAATTCTAGAGCAGAAGCTCCAGCGAAGTTAAAACGGAATGGCCAAGGAAATAACAATAGATGTTCCACCACCAATGCCGCCGCTACCACTTCCTTCTTCTCGGGTCTTTCAAAATCTTTTCGAGAAAAGTAGCAAAAACAAACTTCTATATTCCCTTTCCAGCACTGCATCACCACCTTTGCCTCCACCACCACCTCCTGCAAATTCAATATTCAATAACTTGTTTAAAGGCGGAAGGAGGAGAGGAAGAAGAGAAAGAAAACAAAAAGGTGGTAGGCTCCGATCTTGATTGGCGACCGAGGTGGTGGTGGGTTGAGGTGGAAGAAAAAAATAGGAAGGGAAAAAAGATTTGTGTATGTTTTAGGTATTTTGAAATATGTAGTTTAAAAAATTTGTAAAGTTTTTTAAAATTATTGTAACTGATGACAAATTTGACAAAAACTCACTTAGCCAAAACAGGGTCCTAGTCTAGGATAAACAAGGTACAGATAAAAAAGTTGAAAATTGGGAAGTTGGAATTCAATTTTGTATGATGTTCTTGGACTTATAACACCCGCCAAATTAGACTAGTTATGGTTCTAATTTTTTTTGCTCTCTTAATCATTCTTTGCCGCTGTATTATCGCGTGGATCATCAATTATGTTTCCGAGTAAATGCAACTGCTTTTCAAGCTTTCACGCCTTCGACGTTGACACGGCCGGCTGAAAAGACGTGCAGTGCTACAAGTTTTACTTCATGTAGCTTTCATCTTGAAATGACAAAAATAAATCTGAAGTCGTCTGTAGACTTTTGTCCTAGTAATCAACCCAACTCAAAATAATTGTATTAAATCAAGTTCATACTTGGAATCTAAAATGTTGACTGTATAAGAGCAACAGCAGAAGCCATGCAATCTCAAATGATTTTTAAAAAGTTAACTGTATAAAACGTAATAAACATTTACGTATTATACTTCACGAATTGGACTTTATTTTTTGAAAAAATTAAAATTTGAGTAAGAACACTAACTTATTTTTCTAGTTATACAAAAATTACCACGACGTATAACATAATTTGGTAGATAGATATATATATAGGTAATAAAATGATAAAATTTTAATAAATTTAATGTCATGCAAGGATAAGAGATAAAATTGGTATAAATGTAACATTCTCTTTAAAATACACATATATATATATATATAGTAATTATAATCATATTTTTAATTCAATAACATTCAAATATATTCGTACTATTTACATATGAGCTTATATGCAAAATTTTGCCAAACATGTATTTTTCTGCTGAATTTTTGAACATACTTTTGATAAAATATATATATATATATATATATACAATACATGTGCATATAATATTTTGTATTATACATGTCCCAAATTCTATTAATTGTATTTTATTATATGAA